TTGTCATGAACAATCATTTAGTTTAGAAAGTAATTCAAATCATTTTAAACTATATTCTTGAGTCTGGATTAATATGAAGTGTGTGTTCCCTGAATAAGTCAAAGAAAGAAGTCTTCAGATTAAATGTTCAAAGACCAGATTGATGTTTCATACCGTAAATCCTCTAATACAGGCCCGGGCCTGTATTTGACTCAAGCTCACCAAGCTCCAGGCCTTTATTGGAAGGAGGGCCAGAATTAGAGGCAGGCCTCAATTTCTATTTGAGCAAAAAGAACTAATGGTTCGCTGGAGTTTTTGACAATTAAAATTGCGCCCACATTTTCAAAGCTAAACACATTTCTTTTAACAACGGTAGTTTCTGCTTCAGCCCTCTCCCCCCTCCCCCTGCGCAGCGGCCGCAAACTCACTGATGCGCCTGCAGCCTCTCGGAGTTCCTGCTGCTCTAAACATTAAAATAATTATTTCATTTTCTGTTCCTCACTTCTGATTACCTTCAATGGTGTCTGTTTGTTGCAACCAGCAGGTACAAAAACTAACTTGTTTTTATTTGACTATTTTTCTGTCCTGCCTGTTTATTATCTTCCTGCATCTCCTCTCAATCCTAAAGAGAAACTGCTACCTGGGTTCATATATATTCACCTCATGAGTTACCTTTGAACTGCAGTTCTAAAAGATCTACCCACCACTAAAACAGCGGAGTGCTCGCCGGCCGCATCAGTTAGGTGCGTCACCGAGGACAAAACATGTGATGCGCCCCAATCCACAGCAGCGAAACGCATCAGGCACAAATAAAAGAATGAAAGACAGAAAACATAAAAGGAAATGAGCCGACATGAACGATCGCGTGTTAAATTAATTTTTGAGGTGGCGACACCTGATTTGATAATGTTACTGGGTGTCAGTACCGACGCTCTGGCACAGCTTGTTGACTCCCGACGCGCAGGAGCTTGTCACCTGCTGACAGCAGGCTGCTGTCTTTTCCGTGGACTGCATCTTGCCGGTCATTATCACGCGACAGCGACTAGTTGATGACAGGCATAACAAGTCACTTATAGAGCGGTGAAGTCGACTAGTGACTAGTTCATACAACCCCTGCTACTGCTCCCCAGAGTGTTCTGCAGCATAATCAGCACGTTCTCTTTGAACTTGATATCAAATTTTCGCCTCCTCTTCGTCTCCGCACGGTTAAAGTTACCCTCCCGGTCCATCACTGGCAAATCAAAAGTGAGACGATGACACAACCGCCCCCCTGTGGTACTTGCTTGTTACCACATTCCACTAGGGGTTGTAAGAACTAGTCGACTAGTCGGCTTCACGGCTCTGTAGTGACTTTTTATGCCTGTCATCGACTAGTCGCTGTCACGTGATAATGACTGAAAAGATGCAGTCCTCCAGCAGGTGATGAGCCCCTGCGTCGGGAGGCGGAGGCGAGGCGCTGTGCCAGAGCGTCGGTACTGACACCCGCCACAAAACGGACATTTAACCAAACTGTGACCTTTTCCCTCTTGCAATTTAACCTTCCCCTCACCCCCATCCTAATCTTAACCATTTTGTGCATGCAAAGCTCTGATCGTTGACGCGCTCCAGACATTGTGTCCTGAGCACGGCCAAATAAGGTGTCACCACCTCAAAAACAAATTAAACACGCGATCGTTCATGTCAGCTCATTTCCTTTCATGTTTTCTGTCTGTGATTTGTGCCTGATGCGTTTCGCTGCTGCGGAGCGAGGCGCATCACCTGTTTTGTTCTCCGGTGACGCACCCCCAAAATTCCACTATCTCCGCTCCGCTCCGGCACGAACTCCGCAGCAAAAACGGTCCCGTTGTAGTCGGCCGGCGAGCAGCGGCACTCCGCTGTTTTTGCGGTCGGTAGATCTTTTAGAACTGCAGTTCAAAGGTAACTCATGAGGTGAATATATATGAACCCAGGTAGCAGTTTTTCTTTAGGATTGAGAGGAGATGCAGGAAGATAATAAACAGACAGGACAGAAAAATAGTCAAATAAAAACAAGTTAGTTTTTGTACCTGCTGGTTGCAACAAACAGACACCATTGAAGGTAATCAGAAGTGAGGAACAGAAAATGAAATAATTATTTTAATGTTTAGAGCAGCAGGAACTCCGAGAGGCTGCAGGTGCATCAGTTTGCTGCTGCTGCACAGGAGGAGGGGGGAGAGGGCTGAAGCAGGATGCAGAAACTACCGTTGTTAAAAGAGATGTGTTAACTTAGAAAATCATTTCTTTCTTTCGATTTGGGCGCAATTTTAATTGTCAAAAACTCCAGCGAACCTACCGATCCTCCCCCCCCCCCCCCCCCCCCCGCCTGCTTCAGGTGTATGACGTCATCAACAACTACTCGAAGATAGATAGATAGATAGATAGATAGATAGATAGATAGATAGATAGATAGATAGATAGATAGATAGATAGATAGATAGATGTAAAGAAGTTAAGGAGAATTGGATGTTAAATTTTCCTCACGAAAAGAAAATTTGTATTAAACAAAGGTCAGTTCCCTCTGTAAAGGCAAAGGTACGGAAGAGGATTAGGGCATCTGAAAAGAAAAAAAAGAAGAAAAAGAGAATTTGGACTTTTTTCCCAGAATTTCCAATTCTGATGTTAAAAGTCAGAATTCTGAGAAAAAAAGTTAGAATTCTCTTTCTTTTCTTTTTTTCCTTGTCAGTGGCTCTAATCCTCTTCCGTACAGAGTAGAAATAAGTAAATAAGGTCAATATTAATACCCCCCCCCCCACCACCACCACCACCACTCTAAACGGTCGGCGAACCCTCTCTCACTCTTTGAAATGTTCAAAGGTTGTGTGGCAAGGTGGAGAAATGAGGGCCTGGGCGGGATTCGAACCCCAGACTCCCAAGTGAGAGTCACGAGCGCTAACCAGTCAGCCAAATGGACATCCCCCCTGGCCAATCAGCCAGGGCGCATGAACAATTGGGACACAGTGACAGGACGCTCAGACTTTCACATATGAGAACTGACAGCCCTGTGAACATCACTAGTAAAGATCACATACAGACATGGACAAAATTGTTGGTGCCCTTTGGTCAATGGAAAAAAATCCCACAACGGTCACAGAAATAACTTTAATCAGACACAAGTAATAAGTAAAAATTCTATGAAATTTAACCAATGAAAGTCAGACATTGTTCTTCCACCATGGTTCAACAGAATTGTTTTAAAAATAAACACTTAGAACAGGCCTGGACAAAAAGGATGGTACCCCTAACTAAATATTTTGTTGCACAACCTGTTGAGGTAATCACTGCGATCAAACTAGCCTTGTAAATGTCAATGAGACTTCTGCACCTCTTGGAAGGTGTTCTGGCCCTCTCCTCATGAGCAAACTGCTCCAGTTGTCTCATGTATGAATGGTGCCTTTTTCAATGTTTCAGCTCCTTCCAAAGATGCCCAATAGGATTGAGGTCAGGGCCCATAGAAGGCCACCTTAGAACAGTCCAATGTTTTTCTCTCAGCTTGTTGTGTGTTTTTAGCCAGTGTCCTGTTGCAAAACCCACGACCTGCCAATGAGACCAAGATTTTTGACACTGGCCAGCATATTTCTCTCTAGAATCTCTTGATAATCTTGAGATATCATTGCTCCCTGCACAGATTCCCTGTTCTACATGCAGTAAAAAGCAGCCCCAGAACATAATAGAGCCTCCTCCATGTTTCACAGTAGGGACCGTGTTTTTTTCTTCATATGCCCCTCCCACTGTCTTTAAGGGTGACCACACGAGGAAAGTTGACCATTGAGCAGGATTGATGGTTTATCCCTTGAGGTCCACGTGGCAGGGGTGAGGTGGTGCTCACTCCTCACCCCTGCCACACGGACCTAAGAGATAAACCATCAACCCTGCTCAGTGGTCAACTTTCCTTGCGGGGTCACACCCATTAGGACAGTGGGAGGAATGCTTCTTTTTTCCATCTGTGAACCTATGTTCTGCTCTATAGCTGATGTGCCTTGGCAAAAAGTTCCATCTTAGTCTCATCTGTCCATAGGACATTCTCCCAGAAGCTCTGAGGCTTGTCAACGTGTACTTTGGCATATTCCAGTCTGGCTTTTTTATGATTGGTTTTCAACAATGGTGTCCTCCTTGGTCGTCTCCCATGGACTCACTTTGGCTCAAGCAACGACGGATGGTGCGATCTAACACTGATGTTCCTTGAGCTTGAAGTTCACCTTTTAGAAGTTTTTCTGGGCTCTTTTGTTACCATTCAAATTATCCGTCTCTTTCCTTTGTCATCAACTTTCCTTCTGTGGCCACGTCCAGGGAGGTTGACTACAGTCCCATGGATTTAAAATGTCTGAATAAAATGTGCAACAGTAGTCACAAGAACATCTAGCTGCTTGGAGGTGGTCTTTTAGCCTTTACCTTTAATTTGCTTGTCTATAGTTTTCTTTCTAATTTCCTGAGACAACTCTTTCCTGTTTCCTCTGGTCCGTGTTGAGTGTGGTACACACCATGTCACCAAACAACACAGTGACTACCCGAAGCCCTATATATAGGCCCTCTGACTGATTACAAGATTGTAGACACCTGTGATGCTAATTAGTGGACATCAGCATGTCCCTTTGGTCACATTATTTTCAGTGTTTTCTAGGGTACCATCATTTTTGTCCAGGCCTGTTCTGTGAGTTTATTTTTTAGATATTTCCATTGAAGCATCGTTGGAAAGCAATTTCTGATTTTGACTGGTTAACTTTCATATAACATTTATTTTTTGATGCTTTGGTGATTCAAGTTTCTGGAACCATTGTGGGTTTTTCTTTCGTTGACCAAAGGCTACCAACAATTTTGTCCATGTCTGTATACGTACTTATTACTTGATGAAAAACAATGCTGAGATTTTGTTTTTCCTCATCAAAATTGGTCCATCATAGTAAAACACCTGGATGGCGTAACACTTCACTTCCAGGGTGTTGCTGACAGATTTATCTAGAACTAACTTGTTTCACTTGTTATTGATTTTCTGAACTGACCTTTGCTCAAGTCAGTCACGTGACTTTCATTCTACAGAGACAACACTCTCTTTGATCTGTGCTACAGGAAAGACCACCGCAACAAAAATGAAGTTTTCGAGCCTTTTTGGGCGCCTAAAATCGAACGTCATTGGGATGATTCACATCAAAGCATTACCAGGTAAAGTAGCTGATGTTTACATGTATATTCTTCTTTGAAAGTGCAGCACAACCTCTCATGTGCATTAGTAATAACTTGTTTTTAAAAGTATCGGCACAGTTAGGAGTTGTAATTAGTCGTCTGTCTATGCTTCAGGTTCTCCTCTGGGGTGTTTGAGAATTTCCCAGATCACTGAAGAGGCGTGCCGTGAGGCTGCAGTGTATCTCGATGCAGGAGTTGTACGTTTCTTCTTCACTTTAATGAGATCTTTCCTGACAACTCGCTAACTGTAACTAATGAAGCCCTGTTTCAGGATGGTTTGATTGTTGAAAACATGCACGACGTTCCTTATTCGTTCTCCGTGGGCCCAGAGGTGTCCACCTGCATGACCGTGGTCTGCTCTGCTGTTAGAAGCATCTGCCCCAGGATGCCACTAGGAGTGCAGATACTGTCCTCCGCTAACCAGCAAGCGATGGCTGTCGCCCTGGCTTCAGGTTCAATCCCCCATTAGTTACAATAAACCGTAACTGTAAACACATTTTACAAACAGTCAACACAAGAGAATCTTTGGTCTTATCTCTCAAATGCACACATGTATTGTATGATCTGTGAGGAACGTGTGTGGAGCAGGTCTACAGACCTTATCTATACTGGTCGTTGTGTGATTCTAGGTCTGGACTTCATCAGAGCAGAAGGTTTTGTTTTTTCTCATGTGGCCGATGAGGGCCTCCTGAATGCTTGTGCTGGTGACTTACTGAGGTACCGCAAGCAGATTGGAGCTGAAAATGTTCAGGTCTTCACTGACATCAAAAAGAAGCACAGGTAAGAACATTGTCTGTGATGTCATTCTACCTGTCGTGTCCCTGTTGCCTCAGTGGTTTGTTTAGGTTTAGATATTCTCTAAATCAGTGATTTACCTCTGAGTCCATATCAGTTATTAGATATTTGACAAGCTGCCTGCCAAACATGAAGCCAACACAGAAGTGACAAAATGTGCAGTGTGTGTGTGTGTGTGTGTGTGTAGCTGCAGCAGTGGCTGTGCTTGGGAACTATTTGATGGCTTAACCCCCCAATCCAACCCCTTAAAGCTGAGTGTCAAGCGGCGAGGCATTGGGTCCTCTTGTTAAAGTCTTTGGGATGACCCAACTGAGATTTGAACCCTGATCTCCCAGTCCCAAGGTGGAAACTCTACCACTAGACCACTGAGCTGGTGACTCCAATGTTAAAAGTGTCACCTTCACAGCAGAACTAAACACCGATTTCCACCGGCCATACCGGCCTGCGATACAAGCCTCACATAACAGCCACGATAGGAATTAATGTTCCCTCAGAATGTTCTGCAAGTTCCATTAGATCAGTGGTGTTACTGAGCTGTAGCCGTGGGACCTTCCCTTTTCCGTTGCTTAACTTTTACACCACCTTAAATTTTACCTTGCACAAAGATTACCTGGTGATGCTGCAGTAAGTCACACAGCTCAGGGGGGCAGGCTGGTCTAATGTGTGTGTGTGTGTGTGTGTGTGTGTGTGTGTGTGTGTGTGTGTGTGCGTGCGCGTGTGTGTGTGTGTGTGTGTGTGTGTGTGTGTGTGTGTGTGTGTGTGTGTGTGTGTGTGTGTGTGTGTGTGTGTGTGTGTGCACATGCCCAGTTCCCATGCCCTGACATCAGACGTGACCATCAAGGAAACAGCCCGCGCTGCTGAGTTCTTCCTCTCAGACGGACTCATCCTCACCGGGTCAGCGACCGGGCAGCAGCCCGATCCTCAGGAGCTCACAGGTACCAGGTGTCGGATCCATTAGGATTGCTGATGACATCCCAGCTTCATGTGTCATGATATAAAGCTGCAATAATCAGAAGGTTTCTATTTGGATGGTGATTACAATGTTTAACAAGCTACATCCCTGTGTGTCCACAAGAGGGCGACCTTTCATAACCTAACGGACCATCTGGGTGTCTTTACTAGTGTTAGCGTGACAAAGACGATTTAATTGTATTTCTTAATTTTTTCTGCTCAAAAGATATTTCTCAGATTAGTAAAAATGAACCTTAAAACTTTAGTGTTGATGTCCTTTAGGAGACTAAATTCCACCGTTTTTTGTTTGTTTTTTTCGTGTCTTGTCTGGCTGTGAAGCAAACAGAACTTATGTCTGAATGATGGTGACAAGCCTTACAGATTTACTCTCAGGGGGAGCATCAAACGTTCTGCTTTAATGTCACGCCTGATACTTAAAACTTTATTGTCAGTGTTTTTGGACGCTTTTTAATTCCGACCAGACACGGAGACAGAGGTGAAAGAGAAAGGAAGAGACAAAAGGTGGAGGGAGGGGGGTCCGGGTCCACAAAAATAAACAGTCGATGAACAAGAGTCTGCTTCTAGACCTGCAGAAAGAGAAAAACAAACAAAGAGACAACAATACAACAAGATCAAGTTATCACTGCGTCAACCTAATGAGCAAATATAAAATCAACATTGTTTAACTGAACAATCAAACGATAATGCATCACAGTGCATTTAGTTCCAACCACAGCCTTGAGACATGTGTTGAACGTGCCCAAGTCCATACTTATGAGAGCATCATGTGAGTACCTGTGTGTGTACATGCGCTTGTATATGTAAGGTTTCTTTATAGGAGCGTCCAATAGAGAGTGTGAGGGGCCACAGATCTGCCCTCAAAGATGTGTAGGAGACAGATGGAGCTCCAAGACCCAGAGAGTTGTCCTAGAGCACAGGAACCCCAGGGAGACTAACCAGAAAAGCCCTATCCCCCTCTTTAGGGGCGCAGAGGATTGCCCCGGGGTGCCACAACCTGCAGTCCATCAGCAGTCCTGGGCGATAACAGCGGCAAGCCCACAGGCCCACCTGAAGCCTCCCACCCTCAAGTCAGCTGAGCCCAGAACCCAGCGACCCAGGGGCAACCAACACGTCAGTCACGTACCTTTTTGGGATCCAAGATTGCGCCTGTGATCGGCAGAGCCTCGTCTCGTCTCCTGATGTTTAGACTTGTAATGATCATTTTTTCTGTATATGTGATCATTTCAGCCCGAATGACTGAGGAATGTGTCGTGGCTTTACGGACCTATGATCAAGACTCGTATAGTGCCAGATCGCTGTTGGAGAACTGTAATGATCTGGATGGGTGTAAACAGGCTTTTCCACCCCCGTTCATAATTAATGTGGACTCACCTGAATTTTAATTGCTGTATCGAGTACCGGGCAAGCCCCGTAGGAGATCCAGAAAGAGAGGCTCACGGTCTGGTGTCCAGGTTAAACGTAGGCGTGCTACAGCGCGTAGGAATTCCACTGTTTTCAGCCGCCGGGAGGGCGTTCGCTGCCTGCGCCGGATTCCTCTCCTTGAGGAGTGCGACGGTGTGTCCACGCTGCCGCCTGCTTGGACTCAAACAAGTGTTCTGTTACTTCACGGCGTTGGAGCTGTGGTCTGGAGTTTTCATCACCATTACCTACTTCCGTGTTTGTGCCGCCGGCTCAGCTCGCAACGACCAGCTGAAAACCACATGCCCACTCGGCCTGCCTTCGTCCAATGCCATTGTGCAACACGGACACTGCCCTCATGACGTCATCTACAATTCACGTCAGCTTGCTGAATGCTCGTTCAATTGGAAATAAATCTCATTCATTGAACGATCTCTTTTCAAGGGAAAATTGGATATTTTGTGTCTTTTGGAGACACCGCAGAAAGAGGAAGAGTTTATTACAGTTTTTCTCAAATGCTAAAACACATTTCACAAACGTTTCCTCCATGTTCCCCAATGTGTAAACACAACACCCTTTTCTAAAACTACATAAACACAACCACACCTTCTCACTTCAAAACTCAAACTTTCACACCAAAGGAGCAGCTCGAACCTTTCAAAAACGTAAACACATCATTACACACTACAGCAAAACAACTGAAAACACAATACTCAATTTGTGAGAAGGTTCTTTGTTTCATAACTGCCAATTTGCCCATCTTTAGAAACTTTACAGTTACAGATCTTCTAATGGGCCATTCCCATCTGTACCGGGTCGGCCCGGGCCGGGTAGCCCCAGTCGGCCCCAGCCTGGCCCGGTTGATTCCACACATCCTTGTCTTAAGCCCATGTGGGCTGATTCTACCCACCAATCAGAGGCTTGCTCTAATGGAAGGTGTGAATTTGCTGTCAGCAGTGGGTGTGCTGGCCCTGGTCGGCCTGAAGCAGACCCCCTCCAGAAGAGGGCTGAGAATGAGCCTTGGTTGGCCCGGAAAAATACCAGGCCACCCAGATATGTAAACAACCTACGCTACCCGGCCTGGGCCGACCCGGTACAGATGGGAATGGCCCATTAGATCTCTGCAGAGGATTAGGCATTTAGATTTGTGAGTTTCATATGAAGAGTATAAATCTATAGAAAATTCTGCATGTACACTACTGTAACACAACTCAATGCAAAAACAGAATCTATTGCACACAACAGTACTCTTGAAAACATGAGCAGGGTGTGAAATTTTTTTATTTACTTTATTCACAACACACACACACACACACACCACAATCACTGTGCGGCATCATGTTGCTGAGCTGCATCGGGCCACATCACCTCATCCACATCGCAGGCTATATTGTCTCTTGCCAGGCACCGCGGGAAAAACGCCCTGGAATGGCGAATCCATCCTTGTAAGGCCTCCACTGGGATGTCACCACAGGCCAGCTCCATTGCCCTTAGGAGGTTCTCTCTAGTGTATGGTTGTCTGTCATAAACCTTCCATCTCCACGATGAGAAGAACTCTATAGGGTTCGGGAAAGGGGAGTAGGGTGGCAGACAGACATTTACTGGTTACTGTTGGTGGTGAACCACTCTGATTTGGTTTGTTCTGTGGAAGCGGACATTGTCCCAAATGATCACATAAATGTGATGTGCGGGCCCAGGATGGTGTTGTTGGCGGTCCAGGAGGATGTCTTTTAGCTCCTCTAGGAAGGTGAGGAGATGTTGGGTGTTGTAAGACCCAAGGACAGCATGCCGGTGGACAAGCCCCTCCGAACCCATGGCCGCACAAGGAGTAATATTAACACCCCCACCCCCACCCCCACCCCCCCCGTCGGCCAGGAACCTCAGCGATGGCTCTTTGGCCACTGATGTTACGGCCTCTTTGCCTTCGTTTCTGCAGGTTGAAGCCAGCCTCATCCAGGAAGAGGTACTCATGAGGTCTGGCCATCGCGTCCAACCATAATATCCTCTGTGAAAATGTGAAAGTGCACAGATGCTCAGAGCAACAGTCAAGCAGGTAGCACAGTATATTCCAAAACTAATGTAGGCCACTAAGCAACACAGTATATCCACTAACTGTACTGTGAACATGGATGTATACTTACTTGCACATACTTGTAACGTAGGTCTTTGTGTCGCGCATAGTTGCGCTCAAAGGGAACCCTATAGACCTGTTTCATCTGCATCTTTTGGCGCCAGAGAACTCGGTCTATTGTGGCCAAGCTGACATCGTCAATGCTCTCAAAGTTGACATTATCGGCAATGACTTTGTCTCTGATCTCCCGGAGTCTGATGAGGTTGTTCTCACGAACCATATCCACAATGATGGTTTCTTGTGCCGCTGTAAATATGGAAACCCTCCTACCTCTATGTGGCATTCTTTCAACTCTAAAGAAAGAAACGTGTGTGTTGTCAAATGACATGCTTTACAACAACTGATTTGAAACCAATATACTACTTTCACAGGCTTGTAAAACTGTATTGTGACAAAGAAAGCAATAGAGTACAATACCTGTTGTGTTGTCTGAATGCCCTGATAATGGTGTCCACGGTGAACCTACTCAGGTTTGGACGGACTCTTAAGCCTGATTTATGCTTCTCCGTCTGCGTCAGTGCGGAGACACGCAACGCCATTATCCGTCCTTGCGTAGGGCTCCAACAGGCACGCAAGTACGTACGGAGTCGAGCCCACTTTTTTAAACATCCGTCGAACGAGACAGATTACGCAAGCTTGTGATTGGTCAGGACGCCGCTGTTGTTTACAGCGCCGCCATTGCAAAGAGAGCCGAGGATAACTAGCGGCAGACACGGAGAAGCTTGAAGAATACCTCGCGAAAAAACTCTAAAAATATGAACGTTTCATTCTCCCGTGACTGGAGGAGTGAAAAGATGCGCAGCAAGCGTTTTATTTGTGGACGGAAATGACAGGAAACGTGGGTTTAGAGGTGGGGAGCGCATGAAGAGGTGGGAGAATGAGAGACAAATATGTCCGTGTTAAAAGTCTCTTATATACACAAAAAACACAATATAAACACACGATCTTGGACCGATACATGACATGATACCACAGAACAGCGCTACGCCCTCTGTTGTCCTGCCGGGCAATTGCTTTTCAACACTCTCCAGGAGACGGAGAAGTATGAGAGCAAAACGCTTCCGTCAATCCGTGCGTGTCTGTCCTTTGCGGAGCTGACGGAGAAGCATAAACCAGGCTTTAGTCCTGTTTCAGCCATTGTCATGCCATGGACAATGACCGTTGCTCGCATCTCTTCCGTAATGATGGGGCAAGGTTGTCTTGCTCTCCCTCCTGGACCTTCTCCTCTCCCTTGATGGCCTCCTCCTCTTCTTCTATGGCCAGCTCTTCTCCCTCCTCTTACTCGAATTCCTCTTCCCCTGACTCTGCCTTCGTCCAATGTGTTTGTTTGGAATCTTCAGCAAACTGCACTCTGAACTTGCTTTTATACATGTGGTCACAGCATTAGCAACAAGTGTCGAGTCGTTGTGTGGGTAATGAATGACGACAGGTGTG